ATACAAGCATGTAGATTAAACATGGAGTAGGCAACTAAATCATGGGATGCCTCATTAAGATAATAAGACTAGGGATACAAAGTGAATATGATTGCAGTCGGTATCTTTTCTTTTGGTTTAGTATATAGTTTTGGGGCCATTTCGTAAAGTATGGATTCTTGCTTGACAATGTCTGCCATAGCGATAGAGACTAAAGCTTAGCAAAGGTTGACCGAGGAGTTCTTGGTACAATCCAACAGTCTTCACACCACAGCACTACTCCTTTGATTTTCGGAGAGACATTTCATGAATTCCTTCCAGCAAAGTTTTCATTTAAAGTGAAAATTCATGTTAAAATCGGTTGTTTTTGTATTTTTCCTTTTTCCTGCCCTTCTGACTTCCTTTCTTTTGCTTCCTCCTTGTGCATTGGAAGCATCCCCTCTGCAAAAGCCAATGCCTCCTCGGGGGAAGCGCAAAGTGATGCGGTACATTTGAACAACGCCGATGAGGTGCTTCAATTGGGTAAAATGTGGCTGTCCTATTACGAACACTTGGGACTGTCGAGAGCTGAGGCAGAGTGGTTTCTACGCTACCGGCTTCCTCAGCTCTACCCATACTACCACTACTACTCCTACTTCTTCCACGACGCAGTGGACGGCCAGCAGTATCGGCTGTCAACTCGGACAGTCTCCACTCTCGACAATTCCAGCTTGCCCCAGCCTCTCGGTTCGCCTGCCGAGACTGGAAGATCCAAACGGCGGCTCGTGGAGGACTGTCTCCGGTTGGGCAGGCGAGTGGAGGCACGGCTGTTACGCAAAATCCGGCGAATGGATAATCTCTCGAGTCTTGATAGGAAAGATAGGCCCGAGATAGCCAAGACAGCGAATGAGGTGAGCCGTTTGTCGTTATTTGAAAACGACATATTGTATCCTTATACTCACACTACTTTTCATAAAAGGTCAATTGGTCAATCATTGGGCTTAACAAAAGAGTGAGACGATAAGAAGAGATGAATGTTGTTGCTAGGGCATCTAGCTTCTCTTCTCCGCTCTTTTCAATTTAGTCTCAATATCTTTGTTTCCTTAGGCCACTATTTTCCTGTTCCTGTCTCTTCTGCTACTTTTACTCTTAGCTGTATTCACACTATTTCGTTCAAGGTGATGGTGGATGGTAGTTGAATTTTCCCACAATGACATGAATAGACCTCACTTTCAATTGAATTTCACATAGCCTTGCTTTCCCAAAGCGTATTCTCATCAAGTGTGGACTACAGTTTCTACTTCGCCTAGGTCTTGTCAACATCCACAACGGGACTCGAACCTTGACAGCTCAGACTATAATATCGACACATTGAACACTACGCAACAATGCCCGGAGTACACTTGGGACAGATGTGAATTTCAAGAAAAGCCAGCTATTTTCCCATATCACATTTCGTGGTGGGATTTTCGATAACGCAAATATGTATATTTGATATGATAATCGACTATATTATTTATTTTTCGTTTATAAGTCAGCGGCAAATCAAATGGTTGAGATGTATTCGCCATATTTTGTTTAAATTAATGATGCTGGAAGATTAAGGTCTACTCATATCATTGTGGAAAAATTTAACTATTAGACTTTCAGAATTTCATATATATGATCCATTAACATTCTCGTGATCCTACTTATTAACTCCTTCATTATTTTAGCATTTTTCTAATCTGCATCATTTTTCTTTCTCGCCTTCCCTTTTATTGTCTGTCCATACTTTGAACGTACTTTTCAATAACTTTCTTTTCCCTTGCCCCAACCGACCCTTTAGTCTTCTTCTACTCGTAGCCCCATCCGCCGGCTTTGGCGCCGTTTAGTTCGTCGTCGTCAGCGCTGTCTCCGTCAGGCAGGCCTTCTGTCCAACTTTTCTCTTAGTCTGAACACGGCGCGTCGAGCCGCCCGCTTGGCTTCTAGCTCCGCCTCTGGCCAAAGCAGACCGTTTAGCCGAGCAGAAGTCGCTAACTATGCTAGTACGTTCGGCCAGCCCTCGGAGCCTCACAAAGTTGTGCTGAAACGTCGAAAACGACCTCATTTCTCCCAGCCATCCGCAACGCCAGAAAGAGCTCCTGCTGTCGCCAGAACAGCCGATTCCACGTCACCAGTTGCGCCCACCTCCTTTCAACAGACAATGGCTCTAATCCATCAGCCTGAAGACCACTTCATGAGTGTTCCCGACCAAGATGGGCTGGTCAAGCCCCGAAGGAAGCAGAAGCGCGCCGCCACGTCCTATCGCTCTAGAACCTGGCCGGGAGGGGTGATTCCCTACGTGATTCAATCCAATTTCTCCAGTGAGACCCGAGAGAAATCAGCAATTCCCATTTGATACGGAGGCACAGAAACAGTTCAGCATCATTCTTGCTGTTCTAGATAACGTCATGAAGGTCGCCACCAAACTTCTGTTCTAAGCTATTTAAGTAGTTGATATGAAAGCCCGGGCGGTCAAAAAGGGTTCAAATATGAGTGTCAGTCCTTTCAGGTGCAAAAATGTAATGATGGGCTAAGAGTTGAATTTTTCAACCCTCATATTAGTAGGCCTCTACTGTTTTTATTCAATTTCACTAAAACTTGTTTACCGAAAGGTATTCTCATCCAGACCGGACTAGACTACACTTTCGACGAAAACGGGACTCGAACTTGAGTAGTGTAGCAAATGGCTTTGGCATGTTAGCTACTACGCCACACTGCTACGAGTGTCCTTGAGTCACAGGGCAGAAGAGCACTTCAAGGAAGCACAGGCTTTTTCTATATTACATTTCTTTGATGGGATTTTCAATGCAGCAAAGTTGTACTTGCTATTACAATCTACCACAATAATTATATGCACGAAAAGTAAAATCTTGGAGACTAGAGGTGGATCACGAAAAATAGTTCTAGTAGAAACGTAAGGCATGCTCATCTCAGTGTGGTAAAAATCAATTGTTAGT